ATGCAGAACTGGTTAGGGAAAGAAAAAAGGCAGGTGGGAACTCAGACAAATTTCCCATCCCTTCAACAGCTCTATCAAGAACCGTTCCACACTAGGGGTACATCTACATGAGATGCTTTACTGCACAGTAGAGGTAATTACTGTGCAGTAAGCATTTGTGTCTACACGTGCAGATGCTTACTACACAGTAATTGGCTCTAATTATGAGTAAATTTGCTACCTGCAAAGGCAAATAACAAATTTACTTGTGATTAGTAATTGCACAGTAGCACTCATGTAGATGCCTGACTGGGAGCAAGTGTGCTTCTAGTCAGCTGGGCAGCAGGGGCAGGAGATTGCTTTCTGCCCCTGGGAGCTGCCTGCTGTGGGGTGAGCTCCACCACTGGAGTCCAGGCAGAGACAATGTCCCCCTCCCTTGGCAGCAGGGAGCTTCCAGCCCCCACTCCACAACTGGGGGCCAGAGCTAAGGGATCCTTATCTCCCAGCACTAGCTCCATGGTCACAGGGCTGGTGCTGTGAAATAAGGATCTCCCAGCGCTGGCTGCTGCAGGGGCTGGTTGCAGGGCCACAGGGAGCAGAAGCAGTCTAGTGTTAGGAGCAGTAAATCTGCTCCTGCATCCCTGCATGGGTAGACATGTGTTCAGGAGAGTTTACTTGTGAGTAAACTGCTCCCAGATCATCTGCATGTGTAGACCCGCCCTAGAAGGACTGCTTTGAGGTGTGAATCTTTGGTTACTTTCTGTTGAATCTGTTAATGCCAGTACAGGCATAGTTTTACTTTATATTTACAATATATCCAGTGTTTGCCAGTCTAGCAACACTTTTCTCCACACTTGTGGCTGGAGTCATTTAGTTATGAGTACTTTGGACAAACATAGCACCCAGGCCTAAAGAACTTGTTTAACAAGTCATCAGAAATAAGACATCTCTGCAAAACATTCTGACTTTGAAAGAGCAGTGTTCATATAAACTGTTCTGAGCACCCCTAGCTGTGTCCTTTATATCTATGACAGGGAGGGTTGACATGCTGGCTCTAAAGGATTTTCTGTTTTAATGTGTACATGCAGAAAACCAGAGCTTTTTTGGCAAGTGGAGGGCTATACCTGATGGCAGCTACCTATTGACTCCTGTATCAGTACTTTTTAGGTCATGGACACACAAATTGTTAACAGTAAAGTGAAAGGAAAGGGAGATCTACAGCACATGAAATGCTCTGTGTCATGTGTGCATCCCTTTCATCTACCATGGGGTAAGAAAGTGCAGAGGGGCAGTTACCACAGAGAAAATGACCTTGCTCTAAATAGTTGTTGCATATGCCTTAGATTCTGAAGAGTAAAAATAATTAGCTATTCCCTGCTTCACACGAAAGACATGGCATCTTTGCATCATGCATCAATGATGTCTGCATTGCTTATATCTATTTAGAAAGACAGTGGGGCTTGGCTGTAGTCCACCTTTGTTCACAGGTGAGCATTTACTTAAAAATGGAAAACTGTGGTTCATTTTTCAGGAGGACATTTTTCTCTTTTGGTGCCCATTGTTGCAATGATACCAAGAAAGACTTTTCTACAGGATCCTTGACTGTGACAGATGTTGACTGGAAGTATGATGTCACTTTACTGTAATAATGTCACTTCTAAATATCCAGTTGGCCTTTTTCTTCTACCTCTCAGGGACTTCAAGCTACATTTGAGACCCAGGCTAGCCCCATGAACCTATCTCTTGAATGCATTCTAACCCATAGTGTAGTGTAAAATAATAATAATAAAATTAGGAAGTTTGTTCAGAATTTCACCATTGAAATGATTCTCTTCCCTTGTCCCTAAACTTGTAAGTTGTTTCCAAATCCTTTTGGGCTTTGAATAAATATCCTCCTTCCAATACCATCTTTCTGTTCTCAAGGTTACAACCCTTCTTCTTTATAGTTTCTTCTGTCAGGTATTTCAAATCTACACTTCTCTGGTTCCATTACTCCATACAGCAGATAGCTATCAAAATCCAACTCCTTGTTGCTTCTGCCCAAACCACCTCATACAAATACAATGTCTAACCTCTTAGCAAAACTACATGGTTAACCCTGACGCAAACACAAGGCATAACACCCTAGCCTGCCATAGGTTATGCAGAGGGACAATGGTGGCCAACGTGCTGCTGCTACAAATGTATCTCTTAATCCTCTTTCAGAGCTTTTCTCATTTCTTCATCCATTAAAAATACAGCTATAAAGCCATGATGCAAAACAGCTTCCATCTTCTGCTCACAACAGAAAACTGCACCTTCTGGGGAGAGTTTCCTCCTGTAGTCCTCCTTGCATTCTTCTTGTCTGTTTAGTCAAAGATCTCCACACTGTACCACCTCTCCTTCCACTGAATTTAGTGGAATTTTTAGAATTAATTACAAGGAGTTCTGATTTCAGTCAAATCTCTTTTTTTGGTTGTTGTTGTTTGCTTGTAAAACCTCATGAATATTTGTGGCACTGTGTAGAATCATAGAAAATGAGGGTTGGGAGGGACCTCAGGAGGTCATCTAGTCCAACCCCCTGCTCAAAGCAGGATCAGCCCCAACTACATCATCCCAGCCAAAGCTTTGTCTACCTGGGTTTTGAAGACCTCCAAGGGTAGAGCTTCCACCTCCTCTTTGGGTAACCTGCTCCAGTGTCTCCTGCTACCCTTCTAGTGAGAAAGTCCTTCCTAATATCTAACCTAAACTTCCCTTGCTGCAACTTGAGACCACCGCTCCTTGTTCTGTCATCTGCCCCCACTGATAATAGTTCAGCTCCATCTTCTTTTGAATCCCCTGTCTGGTAGTTGAAGGCTGCTATTAAATCCCCTTTTCAGTCTTCTCTTCTCTAGACTAAATAAGTCCAGTTTCCTCAGCCTCCCCTCATAAGTCATGTGCCCCAGCACCCTCACCATTTTTGTTGCCCTCTGCTGGACTTTCTCCAATTTGTCCACATTATTTCTGTAGTGGGGGCCCCACAACTGAACACAGTACTCCAGATGTGGTCTCACCAGTGTTGAATAGAGGGGAATAATCACTTCCCTGACATACTAGCAGCACACCTACCAATGCAGCTCAGTATGCCATTAGCTTTCTTGGCAACAAGGGCACACTGCTGGCTTATATTCAGGTTATTGTCCGCTGAACCCCCCAGGTCCTTTTCTGCAGAGCTGCTGCCCAGCCAGTCACCCCCCAGCCTGTACAGGTGCACAGACATGGCTGGTGAACTGAGACTAGTGGGGTGGTAGAGCATCCCATGGGAGTGGGGGGTGGTTTGCAGCCGGCTGGGAGCCGGGGGTGGAGGGTGGGTTGCAGCCTCCCTGCTACTGGCCCAAATGCCTGGCTGGCATCAAACACCCTTCCCCCACCCCGGCCAGATGCAAACCCCACCCTGGTCCTGCCTATCTGCAAGCCCCTCCGATTCCCCACCGCTCCCCTGGGACACTCCATCACCCAACAAGTCTGATTTTACCTGCCACACCTGCTGGAGCATGGGATTGTTCTGTCATAAGTACAGGACTTTGCACTTATCCTTACTGAACCTCATGAGATTTCTCTTGACCCAGCCCTCCAATTTGTCTAGGTCACTCTGAATCCTAGCCCTACCCTCCATCATATCTACTACTCTTCTCCGCTTGGTGTCATCTGCAAACTTGCTGAGGGTGCACCCTATGGCATCTTCCAGGTTATTGATGGAGACATTGAACAAAACCAGCCTCAGGACTTACCCCTGGGGCACTCCACTTGATACTGGCTTCTAACTAGACATCAAGCCATTACCCTCTCAGCCCGATGCTTCAGGTAGTCTTCCATCCACCTTACAGTCCATTCATCCAACCTGTACTTCCTTAGCTTTCCTGCAAGAGTGTTGTGGGAGACCATATCAAAAGCCTTGCTAAAATCAAGGCTGAACTACAGCTACTGGTCTCTCTGCATCCAGGATCCAGTCATCTTGTCATAGAAGACAGTTAGGTTGGTCACGCATGACTTGCCCTTGGTGAATCCATGCTGACTGTTCCTAATCACTTTCTTCTCTAAGTGCTTCAGGATGGATTTCTTGAGGAACGGCTTCATGATTTTTCCAGGGACTGAGGTGAGGCTGACTGGTCTGTAGTTCCCTGGATCCTCCTTTTCTCCTTTCTTAAATATGGGCAATATGTTTGCCCTTTTCCAATCATCTGGGACCTTTCCTGATTGCCATGAGTTTTCAAGGATGATGGCCAATGGCTCTGCAATCACATCATCAAACACCCTCAGCACCCACAGATGCATCCCATCCGGCCCCACGGATTTCTACATGTCCAGCTTTTCTGAATAGTCCCTAACCTGTTCTTTCACCACTAAGGGCTCCTCACCTCATCCCCCCTAAACTGTGCTGCCTGGTGCAGTAGTCTGGGAGATGATCTTGCCTGTGAAGACTGAGGCAAAATAGGCATTGAGCACTTCAGCCTTTTCTGCACTCTGTCACAAGGTTGTCTCCCTGATTCAGTAAGGGACTCACTTTCCCTGATCCTTTTCTTGCTGCTGACATACTTGTAGAAACCCTTCTTGTTACCCTTCATATCCCTTGCTAGCTGCAACTCCAATTGTGCTTTGGCCTTCCTCACTTCATTCCTGCTTGCCTGAGCAATGCTTTTATATTCTTCCCTAATTATTTGTCCAAGTTACCACTTCTTATAAGATTCCTTTTTGTAATTTTAGTAAGTAGGACTAAACAGTGGTCTCCAAGGGTACATAGTCTGTTCATACATTTAGGGTTCTAAATTAGTGTAGTGGAGTTCACTGTTACTGATGCCATACTTCTGCCTGGGTGTCAAACTAGCTCAGGTAGCTCTATATTACATGCTTTCTGCTGGGGAGATATACTTTAATTTAAAGTAATATTGACTGATTTTAAGGGAATTTCCCAAATGATATAATAAAGGGAAGAAAAGACCTTAATGACATAAACCATCATGTTTTATATAACGTTTCCCCTCCCTTTTTGTTTTCTTTCCAAGCCTGGGGAAGAGCTGCCGCTGCCACATACCTAGTTGGCTTTGTGATCCTGGTCATCTGTTTTGCCCTTGCAATCATAGCCTTCTCTGTCGATATACTTCGTTTTAACTTTGTGCGAGGAATTGGAGGATTGCTCTTTGTTGTTGGTAAGGTTGCCTTTTAAACTGATTGTTTTGCATCTGACACATGCTAGCTGAACTAAATTCTCTCACCTTTAAATAAATAATAATATCAATAAAAAAGGCCCAACTATGCATACTGTCATCACAATCTATTTTTACAAGTATGAAAACATTGCTTTACGTGTATAGTAATTCTTAATTAAAATACCAAAAGGACAGCAGTTAAGGACATTTGAATCCTTGAGAAAACTACGGTTTTTGCAAACATCCTATGCAAATACTTCTTTCACTTCATCACAGCGCAATACAGGTTACTGACCTAATGGCCCAATTTTTGTACTGGAATGTAAAAACTAGTGAATTTTATTCTCTTTAGGTGTAGGTAAAGGATTCATTCTTTAGCTACTCTGTACCCCAGAATGCCCTTTTGAGGTCAGTCTGCATGACTTTATGAATAAGGGCCTAATCCTGCAATAAGATGTGTATAGGTAGATCCTAATATCTGCCCGTAATTCCATTGAAATCAATGGACTCCTGTAAAAATTCAGAGGGATACCTCCACTGATTAGGTCCCAGAAATGGGGTAAATCCCTAATTACCTGAGGTTATAGACAACTGATCTACTTCATTGGGTGATGGAGAGGTCACCTGTTGTCCCACAGGGTCAGGCCCCTATTGCTCCTGAGGCTTCCTGGAACCCCAGTTTTCTCCATTTGCAGATGCATGCTGCATGCCAGGGCGTAGTAGCAAATATGCACATTTGAGGAATTCCCTGCTGGGGGTTTCTTGGGCCATGCCTCTGCAAACAAGGGAATCTGGGTTTCTCTCATTAGTAGAGGTGCACCCCAAGTTGGGGCTCAGTAGCATGATATGCATGCCTGGGGAATTTCCTGAAGCCTTGGGAGCACCTCCCTGGGGCATCTGGAGAACACAGGCAGCTCTGGGCTGCCTGCAATCTCCTGTCATAAAACAAAAAGATATCTACTGCAAAGAAAGCAGGCCAAATATCTCCCATCTATTATTGTGGCCTCAGTTTGCAGCATTTGTCACTTGACACGGGGCATGGATGACTGTGTGTTTGGCCTATCCATTAAATTTTAATGGCTGCACAAAGGCATCATTTGTTTGCAGCCCCAGAAAGGAGCATATTCATCTGCAAATAACTTCATAGCAGAAAATGTGATGAGATGAATTATTGCTTGTTCTCACTCTCTTCTTCTTTCCTTTTAGCTGCATTCCAGATTATTGGATTGGTTATCTATCCTGTGAAGTTCGTAAGCACCTTTGCAGAAATGACTGGATCTAACATGTTCAGCTGGGCTTATGGTTTTGGTTGGGCTAGCACTATAGTCGTAATTGGCTGTGCTTTCTTCTTCTGCTGCCTGCCCAACTGGGAAGATGAGGTCCTTGGTAACATCAAACCTATGTATTAGTAACCTTCTCCAGAGAGCAGTTGAACAGCATATTGTATACCCTGAAAGAATAAATTCAAGTATAAGCGCATAGAAAATTATGGTAGAAGAGCTTTTTTCTGTTATTTTTTTTTTTAAGTTGGGCGTTAGAGGCTGAAAAAGACCATTTTATTTTTCAAATGAATTTTGAACCTGCACAGTACTGAGTTAGTCAAAATGTATGGCAGTTTTCAGCAAATATTTTAGGTCAGAGAATGTGTGATACAAATGTTTGGATTAGTCCATTTGTTGCTTCCCTCTAAACACACAAATTCTCACTAACAGCATAACAAACATTGCATCTTTATTTGGACATCCATTTACAAGAAGGATTTTAGCCTTAAGTTACAAGGGGAGAGTGAAGAGGAATACACTGTAAACTTGAATAGTCCTTTTGGAAACCTCAAGTGGCACTCGTGTGGTTATGCAAATTTCTCATTGATAAGAGAGAATGTAAAAACACTTCAAAGAATGTGCTTTTCCATCCAACATAACTAGTCCTAAAGAAGAATTTTTACTGTTTGAGTCCACTGAAATTCAAGACTTCTGAGATTAGCCAATACCAGGGGTGAGAAGACAATCTTATACTGATTTAAAAATTTGAAAGTCTAAAAAATGTAAGTTGGGTGGAATGCTCCCCAAAAGTAGACAGCAAACATCTACATATACAGCTGGCGTTCATTTTTGAAGACTGCAATTCTTGCATGCGCTGAAGTGCTAAGTGGCTTAACACAGATATTCTTAAAAGAGAACAATTGCCATTCTTTGTACCATTGGACTTTATAATGTATTTTGTTGTATTTTAGAGATGTTAGTTCAGGCAATATTTTAAAGTTGTGTTTTTTTTATTGAGTATTTTTCATTTCCTTCAACCTTTAAACACATTGCTGTAGCTATGATACAGGCTTTGGGGAAAGTTGGAATAAAACTGAAAAGCTTTAAAAAGCCTTCTACATTTTTTTTTTTATGTATCACTAAAATAGTTTGTACCATTTAATACTTTGTGCACTGTAGACCATTAGGGGCAATAGGTTCAGTTGAAAAAGTCTTTGGGTGAGTATGTGTAGTTACAGTTATGTGGATACATTTCAGGGAATAATCTGAAACTCCAGCTGAATGAGATAAAGGTTGTGCTTCTAGTCCTGATAATTCAAGCATAAATCTGTCTTTTACGCTGTGGACTGATATTACCTTTGTAGTGCTACAAAAGTCAAACAGATTCATGTACATACCCCATTTAGCGCTACAAATATGGCAGAAGCACTACAGAGAAGTTGCTGTCTGAAACATCAACTTCTCTGTAGTGCTATTTTTTGTAGTACTGCTTGTAATGCTCCAGTCTAGAGGCTTTGCAGAGGGGCACCCAATTGTTACACCTAGAGCACTTCATTTTGTGTCTCTTGGAAGAGTAGCAGCACTTGCTACAGGCATTTAAGGTGATGAGATCCCAAATTACCAGTGACCTGACACTCAGCTGTGGGAGATCCATGACTGATGGATATGAATATTCTTTATAGGATATCTAAAGAATATTGAATGTATGAATAAAGTATGAATATTCTTTATATGAATGCTTTTGAGGTAAGTTACTGTTTTTGAATGGCATTTATTTGAACTGTAGAGAGATTACCCAATCTGTCAGGACTGCTTCCAGCATTTGCAAAGTGACAAAAAGTACAAAGTAGCTGCGCTTTCTTTCATTGTTTGTCAAGTAAGCTGGAGCTTATCACTGGGTTGAAGAAACAGCACAACTTGTTCCATATAATCATCATACCTATACCAGAGGTGAATTGTGTGCATGTATGTACTTAATATACAAAATGCAACCGATAAGACCTATCACAATATTGTCCAACTAAAATACATTAAAACAACAGTTTTCTAAAGGCTCAGTTAATTTTTATAATATCTTTTGTATTATATCTCTTAGTTTTGTAATACTTTTTTTTCTCTTGGTGAAAATGCTGTATATTGTAGATATTATAATGTCACTCATGTCTGTTAAATAACCTACATTGACCATGCTTTCTGAGAGAAGAATCATTTGACAAATTTTGGCTTTTTTTTCTATACAGTAGAAAGCTGTTGGCCTTATGAGGTAATCAGTACCACTAATGGGATGATAGCTAACTTGTATATCAAATGCAAAATACAGCAAGGAACCATGGCTTGGTTCAGCAAATACTTTGCACAATTAAAGATTAAAGCAAAACAGAAAAAATGAAAGTGGATATACATAGTCATGGGAGGTGACTGACTAGAAAAGTGTTCCTCAATATAACTGAATTGTCTTACATGTTCTTTCAATTGTTGTCCTACTTGATAAGAAAGAGCATTAAATGGTGGAAATATTTTATGAAAAATAATAAAAATAAAAATATTACCTGCCTGATGTTCAGGAATAAGCTACTGCAAATAATTATTATTTACACTCCCAATAAATGATAGTAATATATTTTGGTACTGTACTTCTTTCAGACAGGGTGGCTTCATTTAAAAATATATACTGATAAGTGATTAGAGTTAAGAAATCGGTTGGAGAAGTTTCACTTAAAACATTAATTTAAGGTTGTAATAATTCTTGACACCCTTTAATATGAACGTAAACAGGTACTGATTCTAAGTTAATAAATGAGGCTAAGCCATTGTTTATTTGAAAAGGGAAAATTCTTACTGTTAGGGAAAACATGAAACCAATATGAAGTATACAAAAGAACACACATTTAAATATCATCAAAAGAAGTCTGAGATACAGCAGTGCACCATTAGCCCAGGAGGTTCACAGATTCACAGAAGTTTAGATGCGTGTCCAGCAAGGTGCATGCCCAACCTCCTTTTGAAGAACTCCAGGGTAGGCGCTTGCACCACTCCCACTGGGTGTCTATTCCAGAGTCTGGTCACATGAACCATGAAGAAGTTTTTCCTTATAGCCAGTCTGAAACCTTCTTTTAGGAGTTTATGACCATTGTTCCTGGTTTTCCCCTGGGGCACTTTGGTGAATAGTTGTTTGCCTAGTCCCTGATGCTCTCTCCTGGTATATTTGTAAGCTGCCACCAAGTCCCCCTGAAGTCTTCTCTTTTCTAGACTGAACAGTCCCATATCTGTCAGCCTTTCCTCATAACGCTTGCTCTTCAGGCCTCTAATTATACAAGTGGCTCTTCTCTGGACCCTCTCAAGCTTTCCACATCTTTCTTGAAGTGTG